CTTTATTTTTTTTTCATTATTATTATTTCCGCCCACTGCTTGTGATTTCTTTGCCGTGAAAGTCTTGAGTGACTGAAAATGAGAAAAAAAACAACAACAATCACATCACAGTAGTCTAGACTCTGGACATGTTTGCGACTCGCTCCGGCTGTGACAGCTTTCAAAAATGCGTCACAAAATGTGCAGCTTTTTCTTTTTCCTCAGGCCCATAAAGGCTTCAGAATCTACCTGTGTTATTAAGGGTTGGAGTGAAGGCTCGATGAGTTGAGATTTGTGTTTGTATTTCAGCGTTTGTGGGGTGGGATTGCTTGAAAGGCAGGGTGCCAGCTGGACTGGGMCGGCGGCCCAGCGAACAGCTCGGCGGCGCCGTGGCCAGCACCTCCCCATCGACTCTCCACCTGCTCTTTGAGTACCTATCTGGACGCGGACTTGTCGCCGCTGTCCTCCTCCTCCTCCTCCTCCCTGTTTGTCGCCTCTCTTCCTCCTTCTTGTGCACCCACCCTCTTCTTCCTCTCCAATCCATTCCATGTCCCTGACTGCCCTCTCTCCCCGCTGCTTCCTCCTCCTCCACCCTAATGAAGAGCCCCATTTAGTGGGTGACTTTGGTTCAGTCAGTGCTCCGTATCGCCGGCCGGCCTCGGCTGCAGCGACTGGCTGCTGGCGCTCTGACATCACACAGTGGCCAGCTGTTGATTTGGCGCTGTCTCCAAGGCTGGCAGGCTTGATGGCTGGTGGCCGGTAGACTCGTGTTTGCCTCCCTCTCTCTCTCCCTCCCCATCCATCCATCCTTCCTCCCTCTCTCTCTCTCCCCATCTCTCTCTCTCTTTCTGTGACACACACTCCTCCCCTCGCCCTCTGCCTTTACACTCTCCTCTCCCTCGTCTCCCGCTCGCAGTCGGTCGAGCCGAGCGTGCGGGAGGCGGCGGGCAGCTGCCGAGGAGCGAGCTCCTCTCCAGCAGATCGAGCCTCCCTCCGGTACGATGGAAACTAAACGGCGGCCGAGCAGAAGGGATGGAGCTGCCGGGGCACCCAGGTACGTCCCGGCGCAGCCTCCCACCCCACGTAACRACGCTGACCCTCCCCCCTCCTCGATTTCTTTCAAACTAGAAGTATTTCCCAACGTTCAAGTCGGTGAGCAAGTTGGCTGCAGTTTGTTCTTGTTTTTTTTTTGTTTGTTTGTTTGTTTGTTTTTCCCGCCAGTTTGGTAACGTAAAGTCTTGCTGATTTGTCTGAGCTTTTGGAAATCACTTGGCAGCTCTGCAGAAGCTGCATCTGCTTTTCATTACGAGGATAATTAACCAAGATCAGCCTGTAATTGGTTTCACTCGCGCCAAAAAATCAGCTCATCCCGTTTGTTCTGCAGGTGTTGTCTGCAAATTGACTTTTAATGACCCGTTCCTCCCGCCTCCGTCAGGTGAAAACTGCAAAATTCTGCATGCAAGTCTTTTTTTTAATGTCCCAGCTCTAATTGCCCAGATTGATATTTCATGGAAGCCCTCTTATGGGACAGGTAATGGATCACCTCCACTCTCCRCTGTGGATTTAATTTATTAAGGGCGCCTGCACCTCCGCTGCTCCGCGCCGCCTTACGCAACCCTGCAGGCAGAGCAGGCGGCACGATTACCGTTTCTGCCCGTTTACGCTTCCTGACTCAGCCCGAGCTGACGCCGGCGACAAATCGAAGCGAGATCGTTTGGTAGGCTAATCTGTTTTCTGCTCCAGTTCAATTACGTGGCTCCCCAGTTAGAGAACCCTTTAAATATATATATTTATGTATATATTCTTTTGCAATTAGCAGAAATGGTTTGAGAATGGGAGATTAGTTACCCGGTTAAGCGAAACATGGAAAATCAATTTTTATTGCCGTGCCATGACGAGCATTAAGGAGCTAATTAACTGTTTATTTGATGCCTGACTTTATTAGTCAGGGTGGGTGCAGGAGGCGGTGTGCTCTCACTACTTCAGCTTTTTATTCTGTGTAGTTTAAATAAATGGAAAGTTTGCTTTAAAGGACGACTTTATTTATTCAGAAATTATATTCATTTTTTTTTAGCAAATTCGTCTGAATTCACCAGTAAAGCAGTTTTTTTGTTTGTTTTAGTCAGGTTAGAGCCACGGGGTGTGGGGGGGTATTGGAGGTGGGGGGTGGATGGAGCAGTTAGAGGGAGGAAGAGGATGGAGGGTCCTTCACTTCAAGCTGAGCCGGTTATTGGCCGGAGGAGAGCGCCGATCGGGCTGAGCAGAACAAAACGAAGCGGAGGTGTGGGAAGGAAAGGTCAGAGGTGTGTGTGTGTGTGTGTGTGGGAGGCTGTGCGGCATGCTCTACACTAAAATAATCTACAGCAGCAATAATTTCCATCCAGATTATCTTGGAGCAGTCGCAGCTAATCCGGCTCTAGAGTTGAACTGCAGATGTGCTCGGTCCTGACTCTGTGCTGACGGCAGGTTTGATGATGGGTGTGATGGTTTGCCGCTCTGCTGTGACACTGATGTGATTTTAATACCAACCAGCCACTCCCTGTCAGCCGGAGCGCCTCTGCCACTTCACTGCTGCAGAAGCTGTTGRTCCCAGTCAAACGGGGGGATTCACGTCCGAAAGGTTTGATCTTTAAAGGCAGATGTTCCAGATAGACGAGCTCAACGTGAAGCCGGCTGATCTTTCCTCGTCGTGCCGACGGTCAGATTTCAGATCATTCTTTGTGTGTGTGTGTGTGTGTGTGTGTGTGTGTGTGTGTGTGTGTGTGTGTGTGTGTGTGTGTGTGTGTGT